CCCCCCCCGCAACCTATCAATTTTGGGGGAAAAAACAACTGTCTTAAAACAAAAGTTTCAGAATATACAGATCTATTAATACTTGACAAACATAGAGTTTGTTTGTTTATAAATGTGTTCTAGCCACCCAACGCTGATGGACTTTTGCACATGTCATGACATTGCTTGATGAAAAGAGGCCTCAGCAGGGCTCTTTCTCAGTTTGCAAGGGCTCTGTCCAATTTGCTGTGCAAACCCAGAAAATGGGTGAACATAGAAAGAAACATAAATTGTTCTCAGCAGCTGCCTGCATCCCTTCTCTTTCAAAATCAAAGAGAACATACTGGGAGTATTGCAAATGCATTATATTTGTCAAAGGAAGGGTGAGGCTTTCATGTTTATCTATCCTTGGATACTGACAGGATTCAAAACTATTCTTGTTTCACTGTTGCACAGCACAAACTCAGGAGTGAGGATGCCTATAAAAATGAGCAACTGTGAAGAATATCCTGAACCCTGCCCATTTGGCCATCTTTATGTTTTATATTTATATCCTCCTAAAACAAAAGCAATGACCTGGAGCACAACAAACTAAAAGATTCAAGGTCCATCCCACCCCTGATGGGACCTAATGGTAAAGACTGCAACAACGACACCATTAAAGCTAACATCTTTAACACATTCTTTGGCTCAGTATTTGTAAACAGCAATGGATCATGCCCAGTATTTCCTAGCCGAACCACAGACAACTACAATGATCTAATACATATCGATTTTACAGAAGACAATGTTGAAAAAGCACTACGCAATCTAAAACCATCTCTATCTATTGGACCGGACGGAATATGTGCCTACTTCTTAAAAAAGCTATCCACTGCCATAGTCGAACCTCTAAGCATAATCTTTGAAAAATCTTTCAGGACCAGCTCCTTGCCAAAACTATGGTCACAAGCCACGGTCATACCCATCTTCAAAAAGGGAGCCCCTAGTTGAAAATTACAGATCAATCTCCTTATACTGCATCAAAGTAAAGTCACGGAATCAATTATTAACCAATCCATTATGCTTCACTTAGAGACAAACAACCTACTCTCCAATAAACAATTTGGTTTCAGAAATCTGCAACTCTTACACTGCAAAAACATATGGACTACACAACTCGATCACGGCAAAACAATAGACGCAATCTACATAGACTTCTATAAAGCCTTTGATTCAGTGGTACATGACAAACTACTCCTAAAACTAAAATCTTATGGTATCTCTGGACAACTGCATAACTGGATAGAAGCATTCCTGTCAAACAGACAACAAATGGTCAAAATTGGGAGTGTCCTATCAAATTCTGTACCTGTCAATAGTGGTGTCCCCCAAGGCAGTGTTCTAGGACCAACTCTCTTCATACTCTACATAAATGACCTCTGTGATCACATTAAGAGCAACTGCGTTCTTTTCGCTGATGATGTAAAGCTGTTCAATACCACAGACAATACTGCTACCCTTCAAAAAGATCTTGACTATGTATCAGAATGGTCAAACAAATGGCAACTTCAAATCTCAACAAATAAATGCTCTGTCTTACATATTGGCAAAAAAAAATCAGAAAATAAAATACAAGCTGAATAGTCAAGACCTTGTTGATGATCCAAACTCTGTAAAGGACCTTGGAATACTCATCTCTAATGATCTAAGTGCTAGAGCCCACTGTAACTACATAGCCAAAAAGGCATTAAGAGTTGTTAATCTAATCCTACGTAGCTTTTTCTCTGGTAATATCACACTACTAACTAGAACATACAAAACATTTGCTAGACCAATACTTGAATACAGCTCATCAGTCTGGAACCCACATTATGTATCTGATATTAGCACAGTTAACAAAGTCCAAAAATATTTCACAAGAAGAGTTCTCCACTCCTCTACTCATTGTAGAATATCTTATGCCACCAGACTTGAAATTCTAGACCTAGAAAACCTTGAATTACACCGTCTTTGATCTGATCTAAGTATGGTATATAAAATCATACATTGCAATGACTTGTCTGTCAGTGAATACTTCAGCTTCAACCATAACAACACAAGAGCACACAATAGATTCAAACTCAAGGTTAACCGCACCAAACTTGATTACAGGAAATACGACTTCAGCAACAGAGTGGTCAATGCCTGGAATACTCTACCTGACTCTGTAGTTTCTTCCCCAAACCCCAAAAACTTTAACCTTAGACTGTCTACTATTGACCTCACCCCTTTCCTAAGAGGTCTGTAGGGGATGTGCATAAGCGTACCAACGTGCCTACCGTCCCTGTCCTATTGTTTCTTTTATTTTTCTTATATGTGCCCATTTTATGTATTCATATCTATGTATATACTTATACCTATTATCTTGTAAGCGATTGACAAATCAAAATAAATAAAATAAAAATAAATGGTTTAACCTTCAACAAACAGCATGTCTTACAGGAAGAGCCCAGCTTACTGGCCTTCACTGAATTAAGAAGGCGACTGGAACCAGCACACTACAAAATTGAGCTCCTGGGGTCATTATATGATCTATGTCCACTAAGGGCAGACATATTTAAAGAATGCTAATTTCTATAACTATTGTATAAATGTGCAATTCAATTTCTGACTTATTTTCCCATAAAACAACTGCTGCTTTGGGAATAGAAGTAACATTACTCTCTCAACCAATGAAATTCTCACACAATACTTGCCTCCATTTTCAGGGAGTAGTGGTTTTCTTCCTTGTCCTCTTTGCCTAAATAAACAGAAAGAGAGGTTAGAATTAGTATGGGGCCTTACAAAAAGCCAAACATATGGTTTCTATTGGGATCAAATGTACTTAGAGCACTTTACCTCCAACCCAGGGTCTCTTGGCTGTATCACATGATAGATAATATGGAACTACCTGCATATTAAACTCCTTTGAGCATCAGAGGCACTGTTTCCCCAATTATTGGTGCGCGAAGTAGAGAATAAGTAATACAGAGTTTTAGAGAACACTGAAATACAATACTGCAAGTACTGTAGTCTACACAACCATTCTCTTTGGCCAAGATTCTCATATCACATATACTCAAAACATCCATTTAGCAAAGATCTCAGCAAGCTGCATTAAAATGTTTCTTCTTGAAAGTTCAACTTTTATTTGCATTTATTATTAGATTTATATCCCATCTTTATTTTTTTACCACTCAATGTGATGCACATAATTCTCCTGTCTTTTAGAATCTAAGCAATTAGACCAAGGGTCAGCAACCTGCGGCTCTGGAGCCACATGTGGCTCTTTCGTCCCTCTGCTGTGGCTCCCTGTCACCAGTCAGCTCCACAACTGATAGGGCTTTCGGACAGGTAGAGGAAAAAGGACGCCGTGCTAGGAGGAGGCTCTATGGTGGGGAAACTGGACTTCCAGTTGGCTCCAGAATTGAACAGGGGACTTCCAGTTAGGACCTTTGTGGCGCTTAGAGTGTTTAAGATTGCCAACCTCTGAACTAGACAAAGTCACCCAGCCAACTTTCATGTTGAAGAAACAACTAGAACTCCCAGTTACCAACTTAACTACATTAAGATGGTTCTTTTATGGAAAATTTGATGATGAATTTCCCGATAGCCTGATTGTCAGCTTCTGTTTCTCAAGCATAAAGTCTGGGATAATGTAAGATGATGGCCAGCTAGTATGAAACAGAGCCAAGCTCAGTTACTACCCAGTTTAAAAATGTTACTGTGTGAATAGTTTATATGACCACAGCAAGGAAGAAATAGGGCCTTCTGAGTTGTGGGGCTTTGAGAACAGCCTTGTTTTGTATGCTGAACCTGTCCCAGTTATATGTGTGTTAACAAGTGAACTTTAAGTACTGTGCATAATATTCCAGGGAAAATATAATGTTTCTTCATACTTGCAGAAATATAAATTGATATTCGAACAATTAAGGATACTATGGAAAACAAACTATGCAAGACAATTAAGAAAAAAATCCCCATTCTTGTCTATTGGGTATAGAATGCTAAGCTAGATTCATATTTTTGGAATTAGAAAGATATTGATAATTCTTTTCTACATATACTGTTTTCCTTTGTCCTTCCACCTCTCCACTCTCCTCTTCCTAGAAAGTCCTGGAAAACTAGGATGCTGTTTCAGTAGCTATGCTCCTGCTATGGAATGTCTTCCCCAGAAGACATTCCCACTTGATTGTCTCCAGCCTCAGTGAAGATTCTCTGTCCCACAAGTTTTCAAGTCTTTTTCGGTTGAAACCTGACCCTGTTCCTTTTATATTTTTCCAGGTTGTGAGCTTTCATTCTACAGTAGTGTTATCACTCATCCCCTCCCACTTGTGACTGTATGACCGTAACTTTCTCGCTGTATCCTTACGATTTATATTGACTGTTTCCTAGTATGATTTGATTGCTTATTGTACCCTATGACTATCATTAAGTGTTGTACCTTATGATTCTTGACTCTTGATGAATGTATCTTTTCTTTTATGTATACTGAGAATATTTGCACCAAGACAAATTCCTTGGGTGTCCAATCGAACTTGGCCAATAAAGAATTCTATTCTATTCATTAGTTTAATGCAAGCTTTATTGTATTACATTATGAGAATACGGTAATTTGCAATATTAGTCATTGGGCAATAAAGTCAAGGTAAAGTCTTCTTAAATCGTAATGATTTGTTTCCTTGGCAACAGTATGAAAGGGGACTGCCATTGCTGTTTTGGTTTTTTTTTTCTTTTACTGTATATTTTAGCCTACAACTGTGATATCCCGAGGTTCTCCTATCCAAATACTAAAGAGGTCCAGGCCTATTTAATTTCTCAGCCCAAACAAGATAATCTGGGTTCCATCACTTGATGAAACATGTTGGGTAGTATATAGATTTAAAAAGAAAGAAAGAAAATAGTAATAATAAGGTTGCAATTAAGTAGATCGTAGCAACTAAAATAGGCAACGAAAACTATAAAACAAAAACCTTGTAGGCATTTTGAAAAGCCACCAGGTGGGCAGAAGGAAAAGAGAAAAAAGGGGCTGAAAAGGTCAATCAATGATGTGGTTAGAAACTGTAAGAGTAATTGTCATCCCACAACAGGCTGTTACAACAGTTGTAATTTCGAATGGTTGCTAAATAAAAGATTGTGATCCCTTTTATAGCCACTGCCTATGTCAGCTAAAAATGAGGGGAACTAAGGACTGAAAAGAAGGTTAAGGAAGGAAGCTAAGTTTCCTTTCATTTTCTTTATAAATCACTGAAACATCCCAAAATTAATCCTCCTAAACCAACCAAGTATAGAACCCATTCTGTTGAGGAAACTATTTAATCATGAATAATAGAAGCATCCAGGTCACACCTTTTCTGACTTTGATGCCATCATCTCTCTTTGTTCTGGCATCAGTCAAAAGGATTTGACTGGTGGTGCAGTGGTTAAAATGCAGTCTTGCAGGCTAGCTCTGCCGTAGTTCGATCCTGACCAGCTCAAGGTTGACTTAGCCTTCCATCCTTCTGAGGTCGGTAAAATGAGGACCCAAACTCTTGGGGACAATATGCTGGCTCTGAAAACTGCTTAGAGAGGGCTGTAAAGCACTAGGAAGCCGCATATAAGTCTAAGTGCTATTGCTATTTGTAAGTCATGAAACCATCTGACCCTTAGGGCAGGCCTGTCAAACTGGCAGCCCATGGGCTGGATATGTCACGCGCAGGCCATACCCACGCCGGCTCCACAAAGGCAAAAAACATCACGTGACATGATCGAGTTTGACACCTGTGCCTTATAGGGAGACGCCCTTTCACAGAGAATCTTTTCCTGCAGTGATGCAGGATGATGAATGCATTCTCCAAATTCAAAATAATCCATAAAGATGCACCTCTTCCACCAAAATATTCATTGTTAATTGATGTTAGGGTTCATGATAGCAATTTCCATAGTTTACAATTTCTAAAATTATTTAGCTTTTTTTAACTAAAAAATAATTGAATGTTTGCTATGCAAAAATATAAAGTATAAGTCAGTAAAAGGCTGACAACGTTCATTCTAGATAGCTGAAGAGCTAGGAAACACAGCTCCCTTTACCAGCTGGGGAGCCTCTGGGAAGACTTGTAGAAATTCAGGTGAGCACTCAGGAAAAGCCCAGCAGGCAAATCAGGTTTGAGGCTTGTGCAAGCTGGCAAATAGGATCTAACATGGGGAGGGGAAGAGGAAAGAGCACCATTCTGTCTCCTTTGTCCTGCGGCTTCTTTTGTTCACCTCTTGCTATAAGAGCATTTATCTTTTTCTTATGCGAACTCACCTCCTTGCAGGTTTATATCAAAGTTCCACAGCATCCAATATACTATTTTGGCTATGGGAAGTAAGGGACAGAATGAAAAGTAGACTTGAGGGACTGCAGAAAGGGAGGAAAAAGCAATGCAGCAAACAAAACACATAGCTGATTCAAAACTGCATAAAAGATGCAGGTGAAACAGGGGGATGGTAATGACTTAATGATTCCTTCCAACTCTATGATTTATTATCTAGAAATCAAGATCAAATCTGGATGGAAATTAATGATGTCCACCAGATGTGAATTTTTAAACATTCCAGAATCAGATACTTTTCTGTTCCTTTGCTATGGGGGCTACACTTTCTTTTTAATTGATGGCACTTCAGTATTAGCCTTTTAACTGGAGATTGTGATGAGTTCCCTTCCCTCTTTTTAAAGTTTTAAATAAAGAGCTTGCTGGAGTTTTGAATTATTACATCTGCATTTTAAATATTATTTTACTATATTTTACTCTGCTTTCAGATGTCTCACTTTCAAAGTAATGCAAAAACTGCTTCAGTTAATAAAGCTGCACTATAACCATAACTTTGGCATGTCCATCCCCTTTGGGCCAGCAAGCGCCGCATAGAGAATCTCACTTTATTCAGATCAGGCCAGACAACATTGCAGCAAGAGCTTAGAGTTTCTGGAGACTGAGCAATCCAGCCAAGCCAAGCACTGCTGAGATGACATATAAGCAGCCAATAAGCCAACTGGCAAAATGCCTTGACCAAACTCCCAGATCCTGCTTTATTATTTTTCCTATGTGTAAAATATTCGAGTGTATAAAAGACTGTTGTTCACCCTTTCTTATTTTTAAAACTAGATATTAGTTTATTTTTGTCTTATTGAAATACAATACACTCGCTGCCCTTGGTCATCTTTAGCTTTGGCCTGTCTTTAAGTATCTCAACAGCATCAACATATCACAATTTACAAATAGCTATCCTTTATTCCATCAAGGTGCCTCCCATCCTTTCTCCTCCACCATCCTTTGAAAGTCCCCTCCCTTTTCTTATCACATTTTTTTTGAATACTGGGATGCCTGGGGCTGGCTTTCCACAACACAATACTCTAGGGGACAAAGACATTCTGGAGGCACACCCCAAAACAATTCTGGGATTGCTGGGTAGTTCTGACCTGCCACTCGCACTCTCCCCCTTTGCGATCCTCTGCTTTCAGAGTTTGCACTTGGCAAAGACTCAGCCTGAAGGAGGCCCCTTCCCAACAAATGCTCTTGGCAAGGCAGCAGTCAAGAAGACCCCTCCCCTCTACAGGCCTCTTGCCAGCAGGAAACGTAAGCTCCCTGGGAACATGGAATTCGCTGCTCTCATCCACTCCACAAAGGCCGTCCCTTGGATTTGTGGGGCAGGCTAACCCAAAAGAGAGTGGGGAGGCAATAAAAACGGGACTGGAAAGACAAAGCAAATTCTCTTAGAAAGTTTGAAGAAAAGTGGAGAGAAGAAGACAAGATTTGTTTAGCGCACTCCTGGCAGGTAGCCTCACCTTGAGAAAAAGTAGGCTGGCCTCCTCAAGAACAGATTTGGGATTTATTAAGAGATATAAAAGAAGAGATGGAATAGATAGAGAACAATCCACTACCACCAATTTATCCTTCCTAAGTTCCTCTCTGTAACAAATCTAATCAATTGGAAACTAATCAAGGAGAGAAGCAACTTAGATTGCAAACTTTTGCTAGAAATGCTCTAAGGAAAACACTGGATTTTTCAAAGCACCTATTGGCTGTGACAATAGAAGCTCTAGCATTAGTGATGACACACCATCAGCAGAAGGAGAAATATTGGCTTGGGGTTCTCATTCAATCCTACAAAGAGAAGTCCTATCAACATTTATTTCAATAGAGATCACAGACAAAGAGAAAAACACTTTCATTCTTATAAGAATATCTAAGTCAAGCCTACTTTTTTGGCCTGAACAATTAAGCAAGACGGAATTCAAGCATTCATATTTAATCTCTTTTGCACAGGAAAAACCTGGCTTTCTAATTTGAATGACACCTGTAAATATCTGCACATCAGACATTAGCTCAGGAATCAGTCCCGCCCTTTCCTTGCTTCAAGGCAACTGCATGCCTTCCTTTATCCTTTTTTAAAAGCTTCACACATATGTTGATCTGTTCATTCATTACCTTATTTTAAAAAAGAAAGCAACAGTTTTTTAAAAAAATTGCACAATTGTTTTGGGGGCTTCTTGGTGATTTCACAAGACCTTGTCAGTCAATACTGCTAGCAGGAAAATTCTTGGGCAAATTGCAGAACCTTGACCACTGACTGAAAAAGATACAAAACATAACAAAAATGCTCCACAGCTTTAAAATATGTGACATATCATCAAGCTATAGTCCTGTGACATATCTACGAGAAAAGAGAATATATGTAGCTTGGGGTTGAACTGTGAAGTCCTTGGTGGTCTCTGAAGTTGGCTGTTTGCTTGCTGCAATTTTCTTACCAGACTAGGTAATATTTCAGTGCACCAGTCTGGTAATGAAACTTCTGCACGCAAACAACCAAACCCAGAGATCACCAAGGACTCTACACGACTAGAGGTCTATTTCATTTCTTTCTTTGCCACAGGTAGCCTCATCTAAACCTCCTCTGCACTGTTCACTTAGTTTCTAGGATGTGACAGCTTAACTAATCCTATACAGGTAGTCCTCGACTTACAACAATTTCCTTAGTGACCATTCAAAGTTATAACAGCACTGAAAAGGTGACTTATGACCATTTTTCACATGACCGCTGCAGCATCCCCATGGACACGTGATCGAAATTCAGATGCTTGGCTACCAACTCACATTTATGATGGTGGCCGTGTCCCTGGGTCTTGTGATCCCCTTTTGCAACCTTCTGACAAGCAAAGTCCATAGGAAAAACCAAATTTGCTTTACAACCGTGTTGCTAATTTCACAACTGCAGTGATTTACTTAACAAATGTGGCAAGAAAAGTCGTAAAATGGATCAAAACTCACTGAACAAATTTCTCACTTAGCAACATCAATTTTTGGGCTCAATTGTGGTCGTAAGATGAGGACTACCTGTATCTTAGTTATCCTTGATACCTTAAACTCTTTCTTGCTTAGACTACAAGAGGCTGATCTGACACTGTTCACCTTCGCTAGCAGGGGGATCAGGACTGTCCTTGGGGGTGCAGCGCCCATTTTCCAGGGCCCGTCCCATCTCTCCTTCTGGCGGGCCACAGGGTTCGTTTTCGCTTCGCTGCCTGCCCTTCAGGTCGGTGATAGTGCAATTGTCAGAAGCACCCATCTCAGCATCTCCATTGGGCACTTGCTCCATAGGGCTGGTGTTGTGGGTAGGTGGGGGGCACTTGGGTGCTGAAGCTGTGTCTTTGGGGATTTCACTGATCTCCACCTGCAAAAGGACAAAAGCAGGAAAGAAAAAAAGGTGTGAAGTCATTCACAGCTACATCTGGAAGAAGACCACAGGACAAAAGAAGCCATCAAACTTCTATAAATCCCAACTAAGGCAAACCTTGGCAGATACCTGTGAAGGAAGTCCTGCCATCTAATGAGAAAACATTTGCTTCACATCTAAACAAGAACAAATCTTCTTGCACCACAAAGAGTAACAAACTGTAGCATATGCTTTTGCAGACCAAACTCCCACCATTAATTGCATGGAATGGTATCCTGAATTGTCAAATCAACTCACCCAATGTAAGGAGAATAAGAAAGAAACTACTGCTAACTGTGAGAACTGAGGGAAAGAAATGTAGGAAAAAGAGACAGCATATTTATATGACAATTACATTAAGGATTAAATGTAAGCAAACTGTAATAATCTGTAAAGTGCTGCCAATAAATAATTTGCACTCATAAATGGAAACAAGGTGTATTTTGAATTACATCTGAGGTGAATAAAGATTTCCCATGGGTTAAAATATGTAGAAAGAGAATAATTTTTAATCACTTTTTATCAAATCTTACTGATAAATTACCTACAATCCTATGTAATTAGAGCTGGGTGCCTTGGCCTTATGCATAGGGCTCCCTTTTGAAAACAGCTCAGAAAAACAGAGCTACAAATACGAAGCTGGATGATTAGATTATGTTATGTCTATGCTTTGTCAATTGCACTAACTTCCAGTCTGTTTGGCGATTTTAAAGAACAAGTTGTCCTTGACTTAAAACCATTTGTTTTGTGATTGTTCAAAGTTACAACAGTACTGAAAAAAGGGACTTATGATCGTTTTTCACCCTTATGACCGTTGCAGCATTCCCCACAATCATGTGATCAACATGCGGATGCTTGGCAATTCGTTCATATTTATGATGCTTGCAGTGTCCTGGGGTCATGTGATCAGTTTTTGTGACCTTCTGATAAGCAAAGTCAATGGGGAAGCCAGTTTTACTTAACAACTACAGTGATTCATTTAGCGATTGTGGCAAGAAAAGTTGTAAAATGGGGCAAAATCACTTAAGTGTCTCATTTAGCAACATAAATTTTGGGCTCAATTGTGGTTGTATGTTGAGGGCCACCTAGGCAGAGATTTCTTTTCAGTAACCACTACCAAATCTTTTTTTTAAATGGATATTTATGTTTGTTTATCATAGTAGAAAATAATGAAGAGGAATGCCCACATTTCAATCATTAATTTAATACAGAAATTAATGATTCGGTGGATAAAACTTAAGACTTTTCCTGTTACTACCTCTGGTTCAGAAACACTGCAAAAAGCATCATCACTTAGAAGAGGTCTCAACAATCTTTAAACTGAATGGGCCCAGTTTAAGCCCTTAATGGGCATAAACAATAAGTATTTCTTGCATTATTATGGCAGGAAGAATACAATCTAGATCCATTGTAATTAAGAGAGGAACAGGATTTTGCAAGGTGCAGATATAGCAGTGTCTTGTTAACCGAAAGGCATTGCTTTCTATCTGAACAGGACTATTGGAAAAAGAAAGGAAATGGAGATGTTAAGAAGTATTATTCTTAGAGGATGCTTTGAGAACTTTTCTCCCTAACCATTTGTTTCGTTCTCTTAAATTTGTTTTCCTTTAAATCTAAACTAGAGCTTATAAGGAAATAAACCATTTGATGTTTACTGAAATAGTTGCTTGGTGGTGTCAAGAGCCAAATGGGATTCCTCACTTATATGACACTTGTTTCTGCAATAGCTCCATGGACTGACTTCTCCCAATCATATTTGCTGAGGCCAAGTGAATTAAGATAATCTCAGAATCACATTTTCTTTCTGCTAGTCATAGATTCATCTTGCACAAGTGTCACTTGCATACTCTCATTCTGCATCAGCCCCAATGCTTTCCTTCTCTTGCTTCTTCCTATTCACTAGGTAACTGCTAAGGTTTCCAGAGATGAAGGAATGTACGGCTACATACATTAGATAATCTTGGCAGAAATGGCAATATTTTATCCCACCTTTATTTCAAATTGGTACGCAGTTAATACTCCTTCCTCCACCATTTTTTTCCCACAACAACAACCCTAGGAAACAAGCCAGGCTGAGAGAGTGTGATTGGCCCAAAGTCACCAGCCAGCTTTCATGCCTAACCTGCCATTACGTAACACTCATGGCCTCCTGGTTTCTTGCCTGGTGCCTTAATCGCTAGATAGGAATTAAATAGGATTCTATGAATTAGAAGGTACATTCATCTAGTCCAGCTCTCTGCTTAATATTTTGGGATAGAGGGCTAGCCATTCACTGCTTGAAGACCACCAGTGAAGGGGAAGATATCATGACATGTGTCAAATGTTGGCATGTCTCATAGTTAGGAAGTTTTTCCTAATGTATAACCTGAATCTATGTAATGGAATGACTTTGAGGGCCTAGGGAATGATCAGGCAAGAGAGGAAGGACCTCACAATTGCTTAATGGTCAGGGAAGGGTCCGTCCTAACTGTTTAGACAGTTAAAATAGCATTAACAAGTTGTACCTTTAGTTTTGCAATATTTTGTTCATGTAGCCTTACTACAAAGAAGATTTAGCTCATCCAGTCATGTTTCTTATCTGGTTTACCTAGGAGAGCTAATAATCTATTATGCATTAGTTTCAATCCTTTGGTTCTGGTTTTATCCTCTAAGATAACGAAGAAAACATTCTCCTTTATATGACATTCCTTTAGATATCCTTCTGCTAACTGGTAATAAAGCAGAACTACTACAATTTTTATTTTGACTCAGTCCTTTCAAAGAGGATATGCATCCCACCTAACAATCATGAAGAGCAAAATCCAACTTGTGCTTGACAGAAATCCAATTAAGAAACATCTATTGATAGTTTAATACCCAAGAAAATTCTAGTACAATTTGATTTTAGTATCCTGAAAACAATGTGGTGATCACAGAATGTTAGCATGGATTTGTCCAGATTAATCTTGTCCTTTCTTGATTAGATAACTTCCTTAGGAGAGCCTAGAAATGCTGTAGAGATAGTGTATTTTAATTTCAGCAAAGCATGTCACAAAATACTCCATGACTTTCTGATCTGCAAGTTAGTATGATCTGGATGAAGTATCTATTTGGTGATTCCCCAGTGGACATGAAAACCATACTCAAAGGGGACCGAATCATTTTTCATCACACTGGAGAGAAGTATCAGGGTGAGTGCAATAGTGTTTGATCCTCAAACTTGTAATCTTCAACATGCACATTAATCTTGAATAAAGAGGTAGAGAGAATGTTTATCAAATCTGCAGATTACACATATATGGCTAGGATAGAGGTAATACTCTTGAATACAAACACAATTCAAAAATTTGTTAAGTCAGGGAGGGGGACTGAAAATAACAATGAAATTTAACAGAAATAAATATAATGTCATTCAAATAGGAAAAAAAGAAATAAAATGCATTGGTATAGGATGAGAGACTCTTAACTGGTTGAAAAGATATGTGAAAGTTGACATGGTGAGGCGGAAACGGACCAGATGGCAAAATGTTTCAAGGTTAGTAAATGAACAGTCACACTTCCACTGACTCAAAAAAATGGGAAAAGACCCAAGAAGCAAATCTCAAAAGTTGCCAAGAAAACTGCATGGATTCCTCCGTGTAATTGCCAGAATCAAAACGGACAAAGGGACAAACGTGTATATACATGCACATGTACATATATTCAGAAACATATACATTTAGGCTAAATTAGACTGAGAACCTCTTGTATGTATGACTCTCTAGTTTTTGGCAATTCATTTACTTATCTAACCTTCCTGAGTCTGCTTGGGTGTGAAGAACAAAGAGAAAAAATGCTTACCTAATATGAAGCCTGATAATTATTTTTAAATGCATCAGTAAAGTCAGAGAGAGTTTGACAGAAATGAAATCAAGAACACTTGTTCTTCTGTTCCAGATTTTTTTACACAAAAAATCCTTGAGAAATTTTGGGGGGCATTTTGTCTTCTTCCACTCAGCAGCTCCCATTATTGCTCATGCCACTAATTTTACCAACAACTTTCCTTCCCAGGATAATATATTCCATTGCCCTCTCCCCAATTTGCCCTCTTCCCTTTCACACCAGAGTTGCCACCACGAATAACCCAAGCACCTTCCTTGTTTCCCGTTGAGTATTGACAATGTCTTTAAGTTTTTCTCATTATCTCCACTATTCAAGTAAAACCATTCTGATTCATATCCAGGACAAATAGGACAAAATACTCCCATTTCATTTCATACGTAGATCCAGGCATCGAAAACATGAGCATTTTGGTTTGAGCGTGGTCCTTCCAAAACCAGCTATTTAATGAATGGAATGGTTTTTGCACAAAATACTTTATAAATCTCTAGAAGCAAGTATGCTTAGCCTTATGAAACAATTACCGAGGATAGATCTGCTGTGGAAAATGACCACATTTAAGTGCCTTAAAGAGTATCATAAAGGATATTAGTACAGAGTGCAGAACGTGGAATAATTATCTGCAATTACAAGACGAAGGCAGATTGTTGTTGCCTAGTACAGAAAACTTCCTAATTATAAATGCAGTTCGGTGGTGGAAATAGTTACACACAGAGGTGGGAGCATCCATTGATTGGAAAGGCTGGAACATCATTTTTTAGGAATGCTTTCATTTGGATTCTTATAAAGACTGGAGTTAGGCTCAATGTCTATTTCACCCCTTTCCAAGAGCTCTTTCTCAAAGCCCTCTTAAACTGCTTTCTACAAGTCCCGGAGCTATATTGTCCATGAGTGGATTCAAAGGCAGCTCAGCCATCAACTGCCTAGCTGTACTACAGTAGCACTATTCAGAAACCAGATCCTAAAGCAGCCAGCTGATAGGCTCCTTTTGAATACAGACTTAGAGATATTTAAGAAGAGCACTAAAACATGTTCAAAAGCCATCTTAACATTAACTGAGTTGCAGAAAGAGTGAAGCATAAAACAGTAGAGAGCTGTTT